TGCCTCTCTTGTGCCCACTCTACTCCGTAATCCAAACTGGGAATCACTAATATCCATCTCCAGCTTAGCGTGTATTTATTCTATTATGGAAGATTTTTAACATGGTTTTTAAGGTATGTGACATTAGACTGATCGTTCGATAATCACTACAGTCTTTGGCATTTACTTTCTTTGGTAGACAAATAAATGTTGATGCCAGCATTTCACGTGGAATGATTTCCGTGGACTAGTTTATGTTCAGTGGTTGGACTAAAAGATCTATCATGAATGTGTTGCTTGTGTGAGTCCATTTTAAATAGGTAAAGAAATAATAAATAAGACTTACTCACAATCAATTTAATTTAACTATCTGACAACCGGTTTCGCTTTCTACAATATGCAAAGCATCCTCAGGTCTCGATACAAAGTTAAACAAATGCTGAAATAATAAAACCCATATTAGAGTATTGTTCAATAACGATAAACAAAGTAGATGTTGTAAATTACAATAATTATGCCAATATTACATGTCTGTGGTTTTATTTAAATGAGTAAGTTGAATAAAAGGTATAAAATTTTTAAAAGTTTAAACAGACAAGGTAAGGCCCACAAATTGTTATAAAATAGTCTCTTCGATTGTAATAAATTAACAAATGAGCAAATAAATAAATAAAATAAACATTACTTACATGCCGGTACTTTATTAATTGATGGATGGTAGAACATGGTTGAAACTACTATATATTGTTGAATGGAGAACTCAATTCTATTATTGCAGTTGTTTGACAGTAAACGGGAAGTTCTTGAGGAGATAGATTTGATCCAATGAAGAAGATATATGTGTGTGATTGTTTGTTAAATGAAAGTAATGTAATATATCATTGTGTTATTAAAATCTATTTATACTTATTCGAGAGATATATTTTTGAAATGTGTGTTATTTATTGAGTAATTGTTTTAAGAAGGTGACAGTTTTATGAGAATGAATAAGTTTAGATGTAAAAACTGTGTGCGTGTGCAATTATTTTCAAACCTGTAGTTATCAAATTACTTTGATAAAGTTCTATTGGCAATTAGTAAATTATTGGATAGTCAAGTGAATAAAATATTAAAATACAAACAATTAAGGACAATTTAAACACACTAAAACAGAAAACACTTAAAAGAGAAACAAACATTGAATTTAAAAAGGGGGAAGGGCTTTAATGCACTACATCGTAGTCTTCGGCACAATGAGTTTTTTTATGTTTTATCTATTAGATTTTAGTGGTAAATTTTGACAGATGTAGGTTAGCATGTGACAGTTCTTCTTCTGTTTCTCAATACTGTTAGTTAAGTTATCTAGTTTTATGAAATATGCTGTTATTAATGAATGTCTTTAAATTGTTTCAATTTAGATATCAAAAGTAAATTGATGTGTTTAATATTGGCATACTTTAACAATATTTAATTAATCAAATTTAATGTAACAATATGGATAATTGAAATACATCCTACAATATAACTAACTCAGTCTAATGTCCAAATTACTGAACAAATTAAAGTAACAAAAACCAAAGTAAACCAAAGTAACAAATGGTTACATATTAGTATATTAGATATTAATATATCAGAATTTGAAATAAATATTTCAAATAATTAAAAAATACCCTGACAGGTAACTCACACATACAACAATTTCAAATAAAAATCGAAAACTTTGTAAACTTATTATACATTTGATTATAAAATGTACAAGTTCAGTTGCCAAAGAATTTATGCCAAAGAACTATGTTTTTTTCATTGACCAGTTTTAGCAATTCACTTGGTATTTCATCTAGTCCAGCAGCTTTATTATTTTTCATAGTCTTTACTGCATAACTTGTTACTTTGTTATTTCAGATCCCTCGTCTTTACTCTGATTATCTTCATATATATTTTCCTGTCTTTGGTCATGGAATAATTCCTCTATATATTCTTTCCATCTTTCTAATTGTTGTTCCGTCTCCATAAAAATGTTTCCTTGTTTATCCAATAGTATGCTTGAGGTTTTTTGTTTTGCTACCTCAGCTAATTCTTTAACTTTCTTATGGAGATTAAAGTTATTATATTTGTTTTGTAAGTCTTCTATTTCTTGGCATTTTCCAGTCAAATAAGTATAAATAAGCTTATTTTAGAACCGCTTCTATAATTTCTCAAATTATAAAATAAACATTTTGTTATATATGGTATACAGCCGACTATAGAAAATTATCTTTTACTTGAAGGATTTTAAAGCTATTTTATCATAGTCAGTGTATACATATGCATTTTTAAGCAATTTTTTAGTACATATTTACCGATCTTTTACTTATGATTACATTCGTGGTCATTGTTCGTATATTTTTTACACGTCATTATCAGAACTCCTTATAGTCACGCCACTATTCCTACTGTCTCTATCCATCACAGACGAACAGACAAACATAATTGAATGAAAATATATTACACGAACGAACTCTTATCGACTTGGACTTGGGGTAAAAAATTTAGCAATAGGGCAAAAACCCTGATTGCATGTTAATCCTGCTAAGGGTGTGTGAAGAAGAAATGTCTATTAAGTTCGAATTAGTGCTAATGGATCATCGAGATTATTAAGAATAGGGACAGGTGCGGACTGTGGCTGTTCTTAACTTTTTTTAATTTTGTGACATATCTGTTTTTAATTTCGGAATTGGGTAAATTCTTATAAATTAGATAAAAAAGTTCTTTGGTTTTTTAAATTGTATGCTCAGAACATATATAATGAATGAAAAAGAAACTTTTTCGACAAATTTAATCAAGCACAGCAGAAAAATGTAATGTTGATACGCCGGGTAAAATTAACGCATAATCTAAAAGCAACAAGATAGGTACCGCCGTTTGACATAACCCTAATTTGCATATTATTGCAACAACGCAGAAATAGAAAGTTGAAAGTACGTCGGAAGCCACGAAGCTTAGTATTAAACAATGTCAAGATTCAGGAGTCGTGCAATAAAGAACAAGGTGTAAGTGTTTTTTAAATAATTTGAATTAGTATTTTTATTGGGAATAAGCCACAATTTAAGTTTAAAATGAGTATATTGACGTTTCAATTTCTACTTCGTAATTCGAAATCGTTGTCAAAATACAAACATTAATAAACTAATCAAACTTTGATTTTTGTTCTTCTTCTTAAGGTGAATCTTCATTACTGAATGTTGGCTATAACTAAAGCAAATTGCTCTCTATCTTGAGCTGTTCGTAGTGTCGAATGTGTACCCATGCCTGTCCAGTCTCTTACATTCTTCAACCAGGAGTATTTTCTTCTTCTTGGACCTTTTCTTCCTTCCAAGTAACGAGAAACACGTTTTTTCGCTGATCTCGGCATTTTTGTAGTAATATCTAAAGGCCAAATAATGCCTCCCTTGTACCACGCCCCATAAGAAATCCAAGTTAATTGTCACTCAGGTTTCTTTCGCATTATCTGTATATTCGTTGATGTACAATTTTGAGTAAAATTTTCAGAAAATGGCTCATCGGGCTAATTAATCTGAACTGTGAGCATCTATTTGCTTTATTTTTGTTGGGTATAGGTATAAATGTCGATTTAAGTCAGTCTTCTGGGAAGATTCCAGTGGTATATATTTTGTTAAATAATAGTTTTAATATTGTTCTGAAGCTATTTTCTTGTGGCATTGTAAATTATTTACTATTTATAACTGGGAATAAGCCACAATTAAAGATAAAAATACGTTTATTGACGTTTCAATTTCCAATTCGGAAATCGTTCTCAAAATTTTCATTCGCGAACAGCGAAATTATTAACATAATAGGGATATATGCACCAGAAGACTGAAAACCTGACAGCGATAAAGAAGAATTCTATAATGTCCTACAAACATTAGTGGAACGAGAAGTGCAGCAAAATGAATTACTTATATTATTGGGAGAAAGAGTTATCAATGAAAACGGAAAGAGAATGGTGAAATTCTGCACATCATACGAACTGAGAATAACCAACACATTTTATTATCATAAAATTCAACGTTACACGTTTAATAAACCAAAAGGGCATAGATCAATAATATATTATGTGGTCACAAACAGAAATATTTACCATATACAGATAGTGGATGTGAGAAGTTTGACGTCACCCAATGTGGGAAGTGATCACTATTTGGTACTTGGTAAAATTAGATTCAATGAAAGATGGAAAGAGAAGCTTAAACAAACCAATTCATAGGAAATAATAAAAATAGAAAATCTAAGAGATGACTTAATAAAATCATTATATCAAAAAAGGCTAGAACAGAAAATACAAATGGAGAATATCGAAAATGAAAGCAATGTAGAGACTAGCTGGAGAAAACTTTAGAAAAATATTCATTGAAAATGGTGGTCATTGTGGTCACTGAAAACACCATGGTTTACACTAGCCAAAAATGTCACCAAAAAAAGGAAGCTTTCCTAAAATATAAGTCAGACAAAACGAATGAATCATATAAAGAATATAAAAGAATAATAACTGAAACTCATCAATTGGTAAGAAAAACAAAAACATATTACTGGAAAAGATTCACAAAAGGACTAGAGATGGATTTATTTCTATGGACAACAGAATTAAGTATGAGGCTTCATAAGACAACAAAAAAGCGAAATAAACGAACTAGTTGAAATAGAACACATACAAGAAGATACATGGGTGGCCTTCCTGACAGAAATGTTTAAAAAACAAAACGAAGAACCTTTACCAGAATCGCCAAATATAATAACTGAGGAAAAGGCCGAAATCTCCCAAAACGATGTGCAAGAAGGAATAAACAATTTAAAAAACCAAAAGTTACCAGCAGAAGATCAAATACCAAATGAACTTTAAATATGGAGTTGATTACCTTGTACAACAACTGCAACTTCTTATTAATAAAATAATCACCACCAACAAAATACCAGATGAATGGAGGAGATCGATCATGGTGATGTTCTTCAAAAAAGGAGATAAGAAAGACCCTAATAATTATCGAGCAATAAATCTTTTTAATACAACACTCAAATTGACCACATGAATAATAGCGACAAAAATAAACGAACAAATATCTCTGCAAGAGAAAAAACAAGGATTTCTGACAGGAAGATCATGCCCGGATGCAGTTTTTGTAATAAGACAAATAAAAGAAAAGTCGCTGGAATACAACAAACCAGATATGTGTCTGATAGGTTTGAAGATAGCGTTTGATACAGTGAGAATTCGGGACGCAATACATTTATTATATGAAAAGGGAATATTACTCGATTTAGTAAAAATCATTGAGAAAGATAACATAGCTATGGTAAGATGTAAAGGAAAACTACTAGACAAGGAGATTCTTTGAGCCCATTAATGTTTAATCTGATAATGGATCAAATCATAAAGAAATTCTCTACCCTTTTGTATGGGGTTGAAGCTTGGACACTTAAAAAATCTAACATTAAAAACCTAGAAGTATTCGAAATGTGGTGTTACCGACGTATTTTGAAAATATCCTGGATTAATCGCAAAACAAACAAACAAGTATTTGAACAACTAGGCAAACAATACGAAGTTTTAAATTCCATAAAAATCGGAAAATTGGAATACTTGGGGCACATCATGAAAGATGAAAAATACGAACTACTAAGTACTATAATGCAGGGTAAAATCAAAGCCAGAACAAGCGTAGGAAGACGTAAAATCTCCGTTAATGGCTTGGAAGCAGTTCAATAGAACTATTCAGGCGCATAACCAACAAAATTATAATTGCCAGAATGATTTCAAATCTCAGATAGGAGCGGAACTTAAAAAAGGAGAAGATTTGTTTATTTTTACTCTTCTCTTTCTTATTATTTTATTTATTGTGTTATTGTGTTAAAATTCATTACCTTTTCTTTCATATTTTCAAAGATATAGAAGCCGACACGCTTTTCCCACTATTATTTTTGTAGAGGTATAGAAAAATATCTTTCCGTTGATTCCACATCTCCTCGCTTATACAACTATCTGAATTATATAATATATAAAACTAATTACATCAAATTAGAGAAAACTGAAAGTTCTTAGTATATTCAAAGCTTTACATTTTTTTTGTTTGTTTACAATCTTTCATTTTCAAAGTCTTCCCTCTAGATGTAATCTAAAGATTTCTGTTTTTAAAACAATGTGATCAAAAGTCGCGACTTTTAAAAAGTTGTTAATTTAAAATAGAAATAAAAGTTTTAATTTTATTTGAAAACTTTTTCGTCGTCAAACTTTAATTATAAAAACGTTTTAAGTTATATAAAAGAAGATACGAAATGTTCCTTTTCTTACTGAATCTTTTATTGATACTGATATATATCGGCTTTGAATTTTAGCAACTGGAATTATAAATGAATTCAAGATCTGGCATAAACCAAAGCGGCAGACATATATATATATATATATATAATATATATATATATATATATATATATATATATATATATATATATACATATATATATATATATATATATATATATATATATATATATATATATACAAACAACACAGTTTATTAGGGTTGCAGTCAGAATATTGGCCGAGATAAAAAACACTCTTTTGACTTTTGGTCGAGCTTTCGCAATGGTTTTATTCCTTTTTCAAGACACTGTAAAAGCCAATTATGTCAATATTTAAAAAATATCACAATTCTTCTGTGTAACTTAGTAGTCGTTGAGATTATTTTTGTAAGCATTGACACTCAACATTTATACCACACATTAAAATATACAATGATGGACATAATATATTATAAAATTTTTTAAATTTATTGTAAAAATAGTAAAACTTGGTTGATGGCATGTTTTACTGATGTATATTAACTCATACAGAGAATGGAAAGTAAAAACACTATAAATAATATGTAATTAGGTGTAATTGATGTTATCTTTCTTTTTAAGAAATACTAAAGGCCCTTCGATGTGTTATCACCCTGCTGTGAAAATTACGAGATGATTCTCCTATGTAAATTTTATTGCAGGTAGTACACGGTATAGAATAAACAACATTCGATGACTCCTGTATTGTGAAAGGATCTTTTGTTTTTGTGTATAGCTTCGATACTGTTTTCACATTTTTGGTTGTAATTTTTAAGCCACTAACATTTTTAAAGATGTTCATTAGCTTAGGTGTCAGAAATGGAATGTAGGGTAGGCAACCATAAGTTATTTTAGATGGTAATATTGATGCGTTATGTATCAATGTCAATTGTCGGATCTCATTGTTATGAAAATTTTGGTTGACAGAAACTTGTGAAGGAAAAGGAGAACCGAAAATGAGTTTATTTAACAGCCCTATGGGATAAGAATTCTCTTGTAGTATGGATCTCAACTTTTTTAGTCCCTTGTCTCTGAATTCTATGTGTGACAAATTGATAACCCTAGTTTTTAAAGCCAAAACCAAATTTGTTTTCATCTTAGATGGATGTTGAGAATAAAAGTTTATGAAACGGTTACTGAAACAAGGTTTACGATACCAAGGTTTGCGTGTGTTGCTCCAGAGTAGGCGATATTCACTTCCTGAGTAGCTAGCCAGGGAGTGTTTCGTATAACGTCTAATGTAGCAATTTTGCAATTGATACATTAGGGGTTATGACGTTAAAAATTGGTCCCAACGGGAAACGATTTGTCGCTCCAACGTTGTTAGTGATGTTAGTCGGGTTATAGCAGCAAACTAAGGTTTGCGGTTACAACTTGACAACAGCAGCTCAACGTTGGGATGTTACAAATTAAGCCTCGAAGGGTTACAAATTGGCACCCAATGAATATTCGTTGGCACGTTATAGATTGACGTCCAATGAATGTTCGTTGGAATGTTACAAATTTGTAAGTATAATACAGAGTCGCATATTGCAGTTTTCGTGATTGATTTGGCGAAGAAAAATAATGTTGTGGTATTAACGTTGCCTCCACCCACCTCATACACCTCTTATTAAGCCTCCCCAAATTATGATTAATATTCGAAATAACTTTGATATCAGTTTTATTATTAATAGCTCTTTGATCTTTTTTAATTTGAATTATCTCCAACATGCAACTTTTCTTCTGCTTTTGGCTACGGCGGTAGTATCTAATTTGTTGGCTTGTACATTATGTTTGTGTGCAACAATCCTTCTATGTAGATATTTCTATGTAGATCCGTGTTTAAATACAGTCTTTACAATTAATTTTATAAATAACATCCGGCTGATGATTTTCATTTACAGTGGATTTAAATTTTGATAAACATTTTACGAAAATCCATTAATTCATGGTATATATGGGATATAATTATGTTTGTTTGATTTAGTGACATTACTATTATTATTGCTAGGTAAGGTTTGGGTCATAAATCAGCTACCTCTGGTCTGTGGTTTGGGTTTGTTTTGGACTGGCATTGGAATTAGATTAATTTCTAATAATTTCTGTAAAAAGTATAACGATACAGTGATATAAAGAATGACGATTTTTTTTATTTAAATTAATGTGTATCGACTGCAATGGCCATTGACACAAACAATATTGTGTACAATAATTAGAATAAACACATGTTACTAATAATTGCTACAGTTAATCTATAAGCTTTGAACCTATGACTAAATAATACAACAGTTTTATCACTAACTTATAAGTTAAAGGTAAAATACATGGAAAACAAGGTGTCATATTCACGAAAAGTGCACAAGATGAAATATAATAAGATGAAGAATCAAAAAAAAATAAAAGCTAGACATAATAATAGGACAAAGAAAGGAAAAAGTAGTTAATCGAAGCAAAGAATCATATTTAGTGAATTCATTCATTAAATCATACAATTTATTGTTAAAAACGTACAATTTTATTTTGTTTTTATTCCTGCTATTGTACAAAATAATAAATTATGTCGTTAATAAAAAGAAACTTAAATTTAAAACATGTAGATATAGATAAACAAATAGCACATCTCCCGAGATTATTTAAAGTAAAATCAAAAGGTGCAGCTCTCTAACCGTTTTACAATTCACTCCGTATCGTATGGAGCATCTTGATAAATTTTCTAAAAATCTTGATTATTAATTTTTACCTTTTAGATATTTACAGATAGCTCATTATAGTTATTTTCTTGTCCTCGTCATTTTTTCCTTAATCCATTTCTGAACCTGGGAGCGCTTGTTGTACTTGGAGTTATCGATGCTGCCGGAAAATGTTGTTCAGTTTTTTATTCAGAATCACGATAATTAATACATATAGCTGTTTTGTCCCACTTTTCCTTAATTTATTAGGGATCTATTACAGGAAAAATGTGTTTTTGTCAGGCAGTCACATTCACACCTAGGTATCTATTTATCGTGAGATATAAATCACGACATGAGGTATCAGAGCTTCATGTTAGGGTTGGGTTGTCCATAATTAAACCGATTCGGTAATTGGAAATAATGTATTTCGTATTTTAATGTTAAAAAATTGGTATTTTTATTGGAATAACTTTACATAGATATTTATCATATAAAAAAAATAAAAATAAAAACGTTTATTGCCTTCATATAATTTACATTTCACACTTAAGATATTTTAAAGATATCGATGGCCTGGTGCAAAAAGTGGCTAACTACAACAAAACAAACGACAAAATCGTCGTTTTCGATTAAACAAAATTTTAAGTTGCAAGAACTAAACCACTGACTTAAAAGTTTAGCCCTGGATCAGATGAAATTCCAAATTGTTTTTTAATTAATCTTCTTTTAGCTGCTAAGCATCTACTCTTAAGTATATTCAATTTTTTATTTTTGACTAAACAATTTCATTTCCTTTTATTTCAACATATGGAATAATAAACAATTGCCACAAGACTGGAATACCGAAATAATTATTCCACTACATAAAAAGGGAGATCAGCTTCAATGCAAAAACTACCGGGCAATAACGCTACTGACTGTGGCATATAAAATACTGTCAAATATTGTGTATCACCGATTGAGACCATATGCGGAACAATTAGTTATGATATATCAATGTGGTTGCCGCATACAGAAGTCCACAATACATCAGATCTTCGTCTTGAGGCAAATCTTGGAAAAGACTAGAGAATTTAATATAGACACACATCATCTTTTGATTGACTTTAAGAGTGCCTATGATAGCATCCATCGAGAATTTCTGATCCATGCACTAAAATAGTTTAATATTCCAACTCAACTCATTGATATAGTAAAAGAAACTTTAAGTACAAAGCACAATTCGAATTCAAAACGAACTAATAGATACAATCCATGTGAGTACGGGCCTACGACAGGGAGATGCCCTATCCTGTATACTTTTTAACATCACATTAGAGAAAATAACTAGGGAGTCAAAAGTCAACACCAGAGGAACAATAATAACAACAAGTGTACAAAAATTGGCATTTGCAGATGATGTTGATATTATAGCTAGAACCGAAAGAGAGATGATAAAAGCATTTAATGCGATAGAAAGACCGGCACAAAATAGTGGCCTAAACATTAACGAAATAAAAACCAAATACATGAAGGCCAATAAATCGACAGGCCAAAGAAACCTACAGAATCTGACAATATGAGACTATAACATCGAAAGCGTGAAAAGTTTTACATATCTAGGTCAGTGGCGGTCTCAAGGGGGGGGGGGTGATGAGGCGATCGCCCCCCCAGAAACCTTAATTTTCTGAAAAATTGAGAAGTTGATATACATATTAATCAGAAG